CCCACCGGGCCCCAGGAATCTCCTCTTACTCTCCGTGACTGCATGGGAGCCCGGGAAATCGACTCCAATCTGCCCTTGAATTCCTTTGCCAGCTAAGATCCGTGATCCACCACTTACTGCGCACTTGGGGTGGGGGTGGGGGGGGGGAGCTGGATTCTCTTGCTGGCCTTGCACATGCGCTCTGCACACGTGAGATGTAACGCCGCCGGGCCCCCACCAGGGCCTCCTGGGAGATGCCCTCCCCAAGACACGGTGCCTCCACCCACACAGGTCCCGCTCCCGCTGTATGTTCCTCCCCAGTGTCAACACCACCTGAAATTTCCTTTTTTTTTTTTTTAATCCTCACCCAAGGACAAATTTTCACTGCTTTTAGAAAGAGAGGAAGGGGGTGGGGGGGAGAGAAACAGACTTTATTGCCTTCCCATACACGCTCCCTACTGGGGTTTGAACCCACAACCCGGGTATGTGCCCTGACCAGGAATCAAACCTGCAACCTTTTCAGTCTATGGGATGATGCTCCAACCAACTGAGCCACACCAGCCAGGGCTGAACTTTCCTTATAGGCATGTTTACCTCTTTATTGTCATCTGCCCACCAGACTGCAGGCTGCATGAAGGCAGGATCCAGGTCCTAGGGACCCTTCGTACCTAGACAGAATTCCCAATCCATCACCGACATCCCTGGTACCCAGGGTTGGTTCAATAAATAATCCCATAACTCATCACTCACGGAGTCCTCACCAGACATCTACGAGATGGGCCCCAGGACCCTTGTTCTATAGAACAGGACACTGAGGCTCAGGGGAGGCCCGCACTCTGTGCTCGCTCACCCGGCCAGGAAGTGGCGAGGCTGGAACGCAGACCCAGGCCGACCCCCTGGCCTGGGCCTGCCCTCCACGCCCCTCCCTGTTCTGTGGCTTCCCAGACTGTCCTCACAGCTCCCCAGGGCCTCCCTTGTTCTGGAAGTTCCCGCTCCTGGCTGCTGGGCTACAGTGTCCCTTTGTGCCACAAGCGTCAGCAGAGAATCCCTCGTGGCCACCACCGTCAGCACTTTATGCTCCAAACCACGAATGTGCCGTCGTTTATGTAAATCACCTCCAAGGATATTTCCAAGTGTTTGTTCCACAAGCTACATCGCTGCACCTGTGTTCACGGGCTACGAGGTGGCAATTTCTCTGGGAATGGAGTCCCGGAAGTGGACTTGTAAAGGGCATTGCATGTCTTTAAACTGCATGGATCTCGTGAACTCGCTAAGCCTGGATTACGACCGGGGCGTGTGGGGCCCAGACACAGAGCACGTGTCGCCCAGGGAAACGCAGCAAGCTCACAGAAAGCCCCGGTTTGGAAATGGCTACCTCCGACCATGAATGTTTCTTCTGTGCTTGGACTATGCCTCCACCCTCAGCTTGAGTTTGGTCTTTGTACACTTTTATATGTGTGTGGACCTGGGTCGGACTGCTGTCTCTGTTATTTAATCACCCATTCATTCAATCAATTAATAAATGCATTGGTGAAATGCAGGCTCAATGCCGTAAGAAAGGCTCAAATAACAAAGGTCTCCTAGACAAGAAAACAGTTCATTTTTCTGTGTCACAACATCTGAATAAAAGCTGTCTGAGTTTGGATGGTGGCTTTATGGCGTCAGGCACCTGGACTCTTTCTATCTTATAGCTCTTCCATCTCCAACCAGCAGTTTCCTGCTCGTGGTCCAAAGTGGCTGCTGGAGCACTGCCATCATATCTACAATCCTGCCAGTGGGAAGTTGAGGAAAGGAAATAGAAGTTAGACCCTCTAAGGGCACAAACCAGACTCTTTCCTGCCATTTCCATTTTCATTCTCTATTGGCCGGAGTTAGCCGTATGTCCTGTACTACTGCAAGGCAGGCTGCGACAGCAAGTCCTTATAACACAGCTATCCTGTTTTCCGCTAAAACTCAGGGTTCTATTACTGGTGAATATGCCGTCCATTCATTCTCTGCTACTCACACACTCTCTGACATGTGGGAGGAGGCACAGCAGACCGGAAATAGCGTGGACTTTGGAACGTGACCCACCTTAGGGTTGGAAGCCGGCTCTCTCCTTCCCTGAGCCTCAGTGCTCCCCACTCATAGAATGGAGACAGGAGAGCAGGGGTGCTCACCCCACGCGGGAGCTGTGAGAGTTACACTGTAGGCTCCGCATTGAGCCTCGTGTACAGTTGACACTGAAGAAACGGCAGCTGCTTTTAAGATGAGCCGGACCCTGAGCTGCAGGTGACTCAGCAGGGGCCCTGCCCTGTGTTCCAATGGGGAGACATCCCGGGGCAGCCCCCTGCCAATAAAAGCCAGGAAACGTGTCAGCACATAACTTCGATGTGTCTGCCGTGCATGAGTCAGGAGCAGTCATGACCATAACTCATGACCATAAGTCACGGAGTAGCAGCGGGGCCCCAGATAACTGGCACCCTTCCCATCCCAGCTCCTCGGCCCCATTTTACAGAAGAGCAAGAGGCGCCAAGGCAGGAGCCACGAGAACACAGCGTGGCTACACTGTTTTATTGTATCAGTCTCCTCCCAATGGGGCATGTAGGTTGGTTCCAGTTTAAAACAATCATTAACAGCCTTGGCTGGGCCTCCCCGGGCCTGTAGGAACGGGGTTTCCCAGGGTAGCTGGGAAAAGCTGGGAAGAGACAGAATTGCAGGCGTGAATGAGAAACCCACAGGACGCTCTAAAACACAGCAGAGGGAGGGGGTCTCTCCCCAAATGTCTTAGAGATCAGAGCTCCTGAACCCTCAGCGCTATGGACATTTTGGGTCAGAGAATTCTGTGGGGTGGGGGGCTGTCTGGCGCACAGTAGGGTGAGTAGCAGCATCCTGGCCTCTACCCACAGGATGCCAGCAGCATGTCTCCACCCCTAGTGTGACAACCACAAGTCTCCAGACACTGACAAATGTCCTCTGGGGATCCAAGTCGTTCCCCGCCTGGGACGACTTCCAAGCACAGATTCTTCCCCGGCAGACTGGTGAATATCACAGATCCTCTCCTCCTTGGCCCGGCGCATGTTTCATCTCCTTGGAAGAGGTACAGTGCCCTTGCTGGCCACCAGGTTAAGAATAAGGACTACATGTCATTATCGAAACAATTAGAGGGATTTGAATGTGGACAATAGAAATGATATGGTAACATTGTATCGACATTGAATGTTCTGATTTTGAAAACCATCCCGTGGTTGTGCAAGAGAATGTCCTCCTTCGTAGGGGGTGCACACTGACATTTTCCGAGTACAAGGACATTGTATCTACAACGGACTCTTAAATGGTTCAGAAAAATTGCACAGAGAAAGAATAACCAACCAAGTGTAGTGAAATGCCGGCAATTAGGGAAGCTGTGGGAAGGAGAAATGGAAGTTCACTGTACTATTCTTGCGACTTTTCTGTAAATTTGAAATTACCCTAGAGATTATTTTAAAGGTTTTTAAAAAACATCGCTTATGTTTTATTCTAGTTTTTATTTATTTGCTTTTAAAGATTTTATTTATTTATTTTTAGAGAGGGAAGGGAGGGAGATAGAGCGAGAGAGAGAGAGAGAAACATCAATGTGCGGTTGCTGCGGGTCATGGCCTGCAACCCAGGCATGTACCCTGACTGGGAATCGAACCTGCGACACTATTATTCTAGTTTTTAAAACGTGGTTTTAATGGGTTGCTCCCACTAAAGAGAAAAACCACTCGTGACTGTGCCCAGGAGCCAGGCCCCACTCAGGCCGTGGGCCCGGGAGTCTCCCAGGAAAAGGGTGCTCAGTGTCAGCGTGGCAGGCGGGAAGACCATTGGCATTTGTTTGGGGCTGTAAAACGCCTAGAAAGAAATTTCGCCCAATATTAGCAGCGATGCCCCACCTCTGCCTCCAGTTTTGTCCCCACGTCCACCGCCCCCCCACCAGCCGGCCCACACGCCGCAGGGCAGTGACTTCACCCCCAGGCCCCAGCGAGGCCCTGATGGGTCTAAGGGTACTCCCACCCCCCTGCCAGTGACTGGCCCAGGAACGGGGATGGGATGCAAGGGACTGAGAGGGCTTCGGGCTGGTCTTTGACTTGCTTTGATCAGTAACATGTGAGGAAGTGACTTTTTATGAGGCGTCGGAGACCAGGATTCGTGGGTGCTGCCCTGAGAATGCCCTGTGAGGAAGCCAGTCCTTCTGGAAGGGGAGAGGCTGCGAATAGAATCGAGACCCCCCCGGCCGACAGCCAGCACCCACCGCCGCACGTACGAATAAGGCCACCTGGGGCCTTCCGGCCTCTGGCTGGACGCTGAAGGAAGCTGCGTGAATGAGCCCAAGCGACACCAGACGAGAAACCACCGGCCGATGCACAGGGCTGTGAGAAGCAGCAGTAAGTCAACGCTGTTTTACGCAACTGTGCTTGGGAGCGACGTGAAGACCCGTCGAGGTCACCGCGTGGCCTGGCACGGCAAAGTGCTCCATAAACGTCATTACTGGCGACCACGCACTTCTGCTCTCATCCCCCGTGCCGACCGCTCCCGTTTCCCCCCAACGAACGAGGTACCCCCTATCGTTCTCCAGCCACCTCTGCACCCCACTTCATTCCCACAGCATTTGTCCATGTCACCTGACATTAGCTAACCCTTTCTGCTATTTACCCTCTGCCCCTGTGGCAACTGCGAGGGCAGGGGCCTCGTCTGCCTTGTTCGCTGCTGTGCTGCCAGCATTTCGCACGGTTCCCGGCCCACGCAGGTCTCAGTCAGGACTTGGCAATGAAATGAATGGGGCGATCTGCTGTAACTGCAAGTCCTGGAAGGCTCCGCCCCTCAGCACTGTGACCACCCCCCACCCACCCCCCCCCCCCCCCCCCCCCCCCCCGCCCAGGGATGTCCATCTCCAGCAGCTTTGCAGCCTGAGTCTCAGAGCTCGGAGGAGCTGGAGAACGGACACCGAAGGAGGAGAAGAGGCAAGCCGCATGGCTCTCCGGAGAGAGCACGGACCAGGAGGCAGGCACAGCGCGTGCAAAGGCCCTGCACTCCCGAACAGTAGGAGACACTGGGAGAGGAAACTAGAGAGTCAGCAGGGCCCGATCTGCAGGGCCTTGAAGGTCAGGCGAAGGAGTGGGTCTCCTCCCACCACCGTCCCAGTCAAGCGTAACAGCGGGGCAGGTAACAAACATCTCTGCAGGGCCTCCTGCCTGCCAGGTGCTCTACCTCTCGCTACACTCACTGGGAACCTCGCAGTAAACCTATGAAGCAGAAGGAGAATGGACCCACATAGGCTCAGAAGCACAGCAGGGAGCCTTCACGCTTCCAAGGCTGGGCTCCTCCCACGGCCCACCTCTTTCTTCCCTTGCCCCCACGCCCACATCTCATCGACCAGCAAATCCCGGCTGCCCCACCTTCAGAACACGTCCAGAGTCCACCTCTCCTCCCACCGCCACAGTCTCCCCAGTCTGACCCTCCACCCCCTCCTACCTGGACTCCCGTCGTCTCCTCCCCGGCCTCTTGCCTCAGCGCGGTCCCCGAGTCCACTCCGCACTCACGGCCAGAGGAGCCCTGTTGAAGTATGAAGTCAGGGTCACTGTCCAATTCTTTACCACAGGCGCCCCACAGGACTTTCTGCAGTGGTGGAATTGTTCTCTAGCTGCATCGCCCAACCCATCATCCATCCACCAGACACCTGTGGTGAATGAGCACTTGAAATACTGTGCTTAGTAGAGCTGAAGGACTGAATTTTTTTTCTCTTTTTTTTAAGATTGTATTTATTTATGTTTAGAAAGGGAAGGGAAGAAGAAAGAGAGAGAGAGAGAGAAACATCAATGTGTGGTTGCTGGGGGCCGTGGCCTGCAACCCAGGCATGTGCCCTGGCTGGGAATCGAACCTGCGATGCTTTGGTTCACAGCCTGAGCTCAATCCACTGAGCTATGCCATCCAGGGCAGGACTGAATTTTTAATCCTACTTCAGTAGCTGCACTGGGCGGGCAAGGCTGTGGGAAACAGCCCCTCTTCCACGCAGCAGGTGGGAGCAGAGATGAGCCTATGATTCCGATGGCGACATCTACTTACCTACCTACTGACAGTTGTGTCTATATCCACCCAAATAACAAAGGCATTTAACCTTTGTCACAGCAATTCCACTTCAAGCCACTGGTCTACCGTCACGTGTCAAATGACATCATGCAGAAGGTCGCAACACCCAAAGACAGGAAGCAACCCACGTGCCTGTCAATGAGCAGCCAGTTAAGTCAATTACGGCCCAGCGACACAGTGGCGTGGAAGGAGCTGTAAACAAGAATGAGGAACCCTGCCACGGAAAGCAGGAAGAAAAAAAATAGAAATAAATTGGACTTCGACAAAAGTAAAACTTTTCGAGTTATCTAAGGACACAGTCAAGAAAGTGAAAGTGAAAAGAAAAAGAAAAGGAAAGTGAAGCAACAGCCAACAGATGAGAGAAAATACTTGCAGATCATATACTGAGACTGGCCTAGTGTCCAGAATATATAAAGAACACTTACGATTCAACGACAAAGACAAATACGAACAACTCAATTTTTAGGGAGCCGAAGGATGCTCCGAAAATATGTATGCATGGCCAGTCAGCACATGAAAAGATGCTCGGCCTCATTAATCATTAGGAAAATGTAAACTAAAAACCACGGTGAGTTCCCATTGGTTGGGGTGGTGTAACCAAAAACACGGAAGCGGACAAATGCGGGTGAGGATGTGGATGGAGCAACGGGATCCCTCGTGAACTGCTGGCGGGGATGTGAACGGTGCGGCTGCCGTGGGAACAGTGCGGCGGTTCCTCTGAAAACTAAACACAGTCACCGCATGGTCCGGTAATTCCACTCCCAGGTGTATACCCAAGAGTATACGAATTCGTACATGAATGTTCATAGCGGCAGCACTTACAGCAGCCAAAACGTGGAAACAACTCAAGTGTCTACCAACTGACTGTGTACACCAATCGTGGTCTCTGCACACGAAGGGATGTTATTCAACCATGAAAAGGAAAGAAGCACCGCAACACGGATGAAGCCTGAAGGCATCACGTAACGTAAAAGAAGCCAGACCAGAAACAAAGGAAGCCAGACGAAAGGTAAAGCTTCCATTATATTATAAGAAATGATATATATAATTTTGATTTTCAAAGCATGTGAATGTCCTATATATTAATAAAATTGTTTTTCAAATATAAATCATCATGTACTTCCTGGATTCAAAACCCCAGAGGAAAGAAACTGCCCGGCTCACTTTAAGTAAAAACCGAAGACTCTCTAGGCCCTTTCAAGGTCCTGCCCCATCTGCCCTCTGCCCCCCCCCCCACTCTCTAGAGGACCTTACCCCTCCCACCCACCCCCTTACTTAACTCCTGTCTCACTGGCCTCCTTGCCGTTCCAGCATATTCCTGCCTCAGGAGCATTGTTCTTGCTGTTGCCTTTGCCTGGAATAATTTGTTCCAAGCTATTTGCACCACTGGCTCCCTCAGCTCCTTTAGGTCTTGGCTCAAATGTCACTTTCTCGATAAGGCCTTCCCTGGCCCCCACCTCCCCGGAAACTCGGCCCTGTCCCCTGCTATTTCCCAAGAACAGTGCGTGGGCCAGGTTGGTGCTTAATAAACATGTGTTGAGTGAATGAATGAATGAATGACCTCAGGCAGTCCATTGGGTTCCGGCCCTTGGGAGGGCTCCAGACACCAGACGCCAGCGGTAACCAGCCATCCCAGGCTGCCTGGAGGTCCGGGGTGCATGCAGAGAACTGTGGAGGGCGTTCCTCTGAAATCTGAGACCCAGCCCCCACTAAGACTAGCGGCCCTTAAGCTCCTGGGTTCAAAATCCAAATGGATCAATAAACGGCAGCAAGGAGAGCCAGTTTCTCCAGACTTCACCAGCACTTGGGCTGCAACCCGTCCGTCCCTGCCATCGAAATGAATGTTTCTTCCTTGAAGTCAGGTGGAGAAGGAAGCAGGGAGGGAGCACGGGCCTGGCTGGGGACAGGGCCTGCCCACAGCGGGGACACAGAGGAAACACACCTGAGGTGACCGGGGTGACTAGGAGCTGAGGAATCCAGGGCTTAGACCTTCAGGGAACCAGGGCAGAATGGAGACTCCAAGAGGCACGGGAGGGGGGCCCCCGGGGGCGGGGGAGCAGGTCTCACCTCCCTCCCCTGCTCCCCTCAGGCACCTCTCGGGTCCTTCCTTGTCCTCTAAGGGTGCCTCCCACTTGGTGACACTGTGTGGACTTCTGAGAACAACTGTGTATTTTGAAGGCAGCCAGACCCTGCCCCTGTCATTTACCTGCCGAGGGAGCACAGGTGCGTGACTGAGCCTTAATTCTCTCAGCAACCGTTTCCTGAACCCACCGTGCGCCCTCCTCTCATCAAGACTGTGGGGTTCACTCGGGAACAAAGCAAGTCCTGGCCCTCAGGGGCTAGATTTCTGGAGGGGGAGATGTGAACTGCAAGTTCATCATTGCCCAGGGCCGGCATTGTGAAGGCAAAACAGGGTGATGTCACAGTGACCGGAGGAGGGGGCAGCTTTGGGCGACGTGGTCAGAAAGGGCCTCTGGAGAGACGGCATCGCTGGTTGGTACGAGTAAATGAAATGCAGCCGGCTAGCGCCTGGGCCGGCGCCTGACAGATACTCGGTGCTCACCAAATCTTACAGTGACTCTTAGGGTCACTGTCATCAGTGTAGTGTCCTCCCCCTCGGGAGAACGGGAGCTCCCGGGGGTCAGGCGTTTCTCCTCCCCGGGGCACGGCACCAGTTGGCACACGGCAGGTGTACGCACGGTCCTCGGCACCTCTGCACGCGGGAGGGCTGTGTAAGCTGGCCCAGCGGAAACAGGTCCCAACGAGGGAGCCCTGGTGTCCAAGTGCCCACCAAGCGCTGGCTCCCTGGCCCGGCGCCCTAGCGTTCCTTGCATACAGTAGGCGCTTGACGGTGCGTGCTGAAGAAATGCCCGTTTCTGGCTCTGGCGGCAGAAGACCTCGGCCCATTGCACAGGACGGTAAAACGAGACTGACGTGGGAGGCGCCGCGGCCCGTCCTTCCGTGAGGCGGGCACAGTGCACTGGCCGGGGCGGAGCGAGGCGGGCGGAGACGCGCCAACGCCCCTCGCTTCCGCGCCCAGCTGCGCCCAGCTGCGGCCCTACCCCCGGCGCGCCCGGGTTGGCTGCGGCTCCGCGGCCGCTGACTGGTCGGCGCTGCCCCGGCGCGGGCTCTGATTGGCTGTGACGCGCGACCGGGCGAGGCCCCCGGCGGCGCCGCCGCCACCCCCGGCGCAGGGCGGTCATTGGGCGGCGTGATCGCGCCGCGGTCCCGCGGCCCTGCAGCCGCTGCCGCCGCTGCCAGCAGAGCGCACCCGCCGGGCCGGGCCAGTGGCCATGGCGGGCACCGAGGACTGGCCGGGCCAGCAGCCGGAGCTGGACGAGGACGAAGCAACGTATTGCCGGCGCTGGGGCGCGCAGCACGCCGGGGCCCGCGAGCTGGCCGCGCTCTACTCGCCAGGTAGGACCTTCGCCACCCCCACCTTCACCCGGGCCTGCAGTCACCAGCCCAGGCAGCGGACGGCGACCCCGGGTTCCCAGATCGGAACCCCAGACCCAGGCCCCGATGTAGAACTCCAGCCTCAGCTTCTGTTTGCAAATAGTGCCCCCAAGTCTGGGGACCCCATCCCAGCGCCACTCCAAACCCAAGCCAGATACCCAGCCCCTAGGATTTCTGGATGCCAAGCCTCCCCGTATCAAGGAACTGCAGTAGCAGTTCCGGGGACCACAAAAGAGCTCGCAACGCACTCCCAGATTTGGATCCTAGCCCCGGGGCACCCGCGGTTGCAAAGAGCGCCGTTGGACTTAGGGACGCCCCCAACCCCAGAGCCCAGTACAAGCTGGAGGGAGTTCCTCAGCTACAGGCACCGCCCAGGCCCCCTAAAAGGGGGCACACCCCATCCCAGGTTCCCCAGTTTCGGAATACACGCCCTAGGGCCCTGGGCTAGAAACAGTGATCTCAACCCCTAAATCTAGCACCCAAATGCAGGGGCCTCCAGCTACCCGGAGTCCCAGATGCCCTTCCCCCAAACCCCCATCCTAGTTACAGTTTCAGAGGCTGAAACTACAGACCACTATTCCATCCCGCCCCTCCATCACTCTCTTCACCCACCCCCACCCCCCAACAACTCCCTGCAGGGAGGACCCCTCAGCCCCTCACCTAGTATTCCGGAATTCCCGGTGGGGAGGGCATTGCAAGTTCTCCAGTTTAAATTCCTCCCGACACCAGCCACAACTCTATCCCTTGCCCCTTACCCGTGTGGATATTTTAGCCCCTCCATTGGGACTTAGATATGGATCCCCAATATTCCCCAGACCAGAGCACAACTTGGAGACCCTTGCTCCCATTCGGCCCTCACGCCAAGGCCCCTGGCTTCTTACCACAGTGCCTACCATTTATGCTCCAGCAAACACCAGCCCCCAGCCCCTGCTCAGACTTCCTCCTGAGCCCCAGGAATCCACTTGCCTGGCTCCAAGAAGGCCAAGTGTCCCCAGGCCTTAAAGAAGTGCCTTTGAGGACTCCAGAGTCAGGTGACTGTAAGTTGTCAGAGGCTCCTCTGCTGAACATGGTTATCACCCCAAGCTTTGTTTGTCAGACATTCCGACATCTTAACGTTTGCCACTCTGCACAGCCCTAGCCTGGGGTGGGCACGGGCCCACTACCACCTCTGGCTTGACTGGCCTGGCTGGGCCTATGCACCATCTCTGCCATGATGGGGGCCATTTACATTCTCTTGGCGGATCACCAGAGACCTTTCTGCACCTGTAATACCATGCTCTGCGTGTGATTTTTTTCTGACTTGACTTAGGCACTTGGCCCATGCTGTCATGGTTTCTTCAGCCTTTTCCTTTTCCCCAAACACCCAGCCTATGGACTACCTCCTGCACTTCCTAGGGCAGCCTGAGCTTGGCCTCCTGACTCTGCTACCTGGGTGTGTGACCTGAACCAAGCCATTTTCCTTCTCTCTCTCTCTCTTTTATTAATTTTTTTTAGAGAGAGGGGAAACATCGATTGGTTGCCTCTTTCATGCCCCCAGTTGGGGACCTAGCCCACAATCCCGCCACATGCCCTGAATGAGAATTGAACCAGCAACCTTTCCGTTTTCAGGCTGGCGCTCAATCCACTGAGCCACACCAGCCAGGGTGCCATTTTCCCTCTCTTAAGCCTCTAAAATGGGTACAAGGTACATCTTATTTGTTCTTTAGTGTCATTAGGAATAGGAAATGAGATCATCCACTTTGACTCTGCCTGGCATACAGTAGGCGCTCCCTATTGCTAACCCAATAGTCTGGCCTTTCCTGGGAATCTGGGAGTAAGCTGCCTCACTTCTCTGGTCCTCAGACTCAGCACCTGAGAATGGAGGGTAAGGATTCAAAGGCTCCTCCTTTGGTGCCCAGCCCTGTCCATTCGAGTAAACCCTGCCCGCTTTCAGCCAAATCATGCCTGAGCATTTCGAGCCTCCCATAGGGACCCCATCTCCCCATTTCACCACAATGGTGTCTTTGTCTAGTTCTGGTCTCCCCGAGGGCCCCTCACTCTCTGAAGAATAGCCGTGCTGGGATCTGAGGCTGCAGACGGCCTCCTGGTCACCCAAGCCTGTAGTCAAGGTATAACACCTCCTGACATGGAGCAGAGGTGTGCGGAGTGGAGGGAGGGAACATGGCCACACTAGCTCTCCCAAATGTCATAGGCTTCTTCCCTCTGTCCCTTTCCTGTGTGGCCTTGAGGAAATACCTTGACCTCTCTGGGCCTGACCTATAAAATGAGCAACGAGGCTCACTACATATTAAGCAACTTTGTCCTAATCCCTGTCCTAGGCCCTGGTGGCAAAGTGGTGAACAAGACAAGAAACAATGGGGCTGGCATTTCAGTAAGCCCGATACAGAGGTGAAATACCTCTCTTGCCCAGTAGGACAAATATATAGACAGAGAAGGGGGAAATGAAATATGGGGGGGGGGGGCATTTTAGAGGAGACAGTTAAGGCCTCTCTGAGCAGGTGACATTCAAACAGAGACCTGAAGAGAGGGAGGCACAAAAATATTGGAGGAAGGACTAGTCCAGACCAGGGACACAGCAAGCGCAAGGGCCCTGAGGCAGGAGCGAACCTGGAGTGTCCGCAGAACAGCGAGGAAGCTTGCTGGCTAGAGCTGAGTGAGCGAAGGGAGAACAGGAACGGGTTCTGGGTTGCAGGAGTCGATTCTTTTTCTTTTAAGATTTTGTTTATTTATTTTAGAGAGAGAGGAAGTGAGGGAGAAAGAGAAGAAGAGAAATACTGGTGTGCAAGGGAAACATTGATCAGTTGCCTCTCGCATGCCCCTAACTGGGGACCTGGCCTGCAACCCTGGCATGTGCCCTGACTGGGAATCGAACCAGTGACCTTTTGTTCCATGGGACAATGCCCAACCCACTGAACCATACCAGTCTGGGCAGGACTAGATTCTTGAGATTCCTGGGGCCAGTGGCGGGTTGGCACTGTGACAGATGGCAGCAATAACAAGGCAAAGAAAATTTATTGAGCCCTGTCATGTGCTGGACATTTTCTTCACATGCTCTTATATCATCCTCACTACGATTGTCTGAGGAGCACCTTGGCGTTGACTCCATTTACAGGAAAGGAAGCTGAGACCTCCCGCCACCCCCTCCCCAAACCCTCTGTAGCCTCCTCATGGAGAAGAACGTCTTCTTCCTACACTTGTACCACCTGGTTTGCGCTTGGACCTGTCCTCCCCAGAGGGGAAGTTGGCTAGGCCAGGTATTGCATCCACTTGCTTTTCCTCAAGGGCCAGCGCTTCGCAAGTACCCCGCCCACCTTGACGCCACTTCCTGAGGCTTAGCAAAGAGCAGTGACCTGCCTGAGATCACACAACCAGTGAGTGGTGCCAGAGCCAGAACTCCGATGGCGGGCACTCTAGGTTCCGTGTGCTCAGTCTTCGCTGGGGGAGTGAGCCAGCCCAAGGTGGGCGTGCAGGCAGGGGACGGATGTTCCAGGTCAGCAGAGCAGAGAGAGTGGGCCTCGTGTCTGCTGGGAGCTGGGAGCCACCTGATCAGTGAGGCCTGGGGCGGAGGGAGCCTCAGCCCAATCCCATGGGCCCCAAGGGTCTGGCTGGGCAAGGACCTGCTGGTGCCAGGAGCCAGAGAGTCCCATTGTCTGCCCCGCTCTGGATTTGGGTTTCACAGCAGCAGCCGCCCTGTGCCAGGTGCCGGGATTTGCAAAGGGCCTGGCAGGCTCTGCAGGCCCCCCCTGGCCTTCTGGGCAAGCCCGCAGGTGAGGCAGGTGTCCGCTGAGGCCTGCCCATGGGTATGCCAGTTCTTCGGGTGCCCTGGGCTCCAGCGGTGGATCCTGAGGGGTCTCTGGAGTCAGCTGTTCACCTGCCCCCTGGCTAACTACAGGTGCCCCCTGCCCTGGAGAACACGGGGCTCTTAGCAGAGAGGTAGAGGGGGTCAGGGGCACGGAGCGGAAGTCCTGGCCTGGAGTCCCAGAGCTGAGCCTGGGTTCAGTCCCCGAAATGGGCCTGACTGAAGCCAGAGGTCGGAGGCTGGGGCCCCTTCCCTGGCCAGGCCTGCTCCCTGCCACACTCTGGGCCCAGCTTTCTCTCCGCCTCCCTCAGTCTGTTCTTCCTCCATTTCTCTATCTCTCCTGCCCTCCGGCCATGCATGCTGTTTCTCTCTTATTACGTCTCCCTCTCCCCTCTCTCTCCATCTGCTTTTCTCTTTCTCACCTCTGTCTCTTGTTCTCTGTTCTCTCTCACGTCAGTCTCTCTGTCTCTGTCTGTCCCTTGCCTGCTCCTTACCTCCTATCCACATTTCCTGAGGCCACGGGTCTCCGAGCGGCCAGAGGCCGTCAGAAGGACAGGGTATTCAGAGCTCGTCTGCCTGAATTGGAAGATTTGGGCCTGGCGCCAAGCCCCTGGCGGCAGCCTGCCCCCAGGGAAGCAGAGAGGGCCGAGGCCTGGCCGCCCCTGCCCCGCACAGCCCTCCACAACCGCCGCACACGGTCCGGCCCCCTCCCCAGGGCACCCGGCAGTCACTGCTGTAAGCAGCCCGGACGGGGGGCCCTGGCCAGGCCAGGGCTGGCTCAGGAGAGCAAGGCCCCAGCTCTCTGCCAGCGGCAGCCTGAGCTCTCATGTCCCAGCAAAGCCCTTCGCCTCCCCGGGCCCCAGTCTACCAGTCTGTAAAGTGACAGCATTCAGACCACACGGCCATGCAGGCCCCGCCGGGCTGACCGTCCCTGACGTGGCTTAGGTGACTCTCGGCTGACTTTGGACAGGTCACTTCGTCTTTCCAGGCCTGGTCTCCTCCTCCGAAGGAAGGGGCAGAGGTCCACGGTGCATGGTGAGGGTCAGCTGAGGTTACTCCTGGCATTGTGCCTGGCATGTAGGAGGGACTTAATGAAAATGAAGGCCATGCATTACTGTACATATATTTTTATGGGTCAAAGTTGAGGCCTTCGGTCTGCAGAAGAATCCAGATTCCAGGGCCAAAGAGAGCTGAGACGGGAATACAAGGTCTGCTCGGAGAGAGTCCAGCCACCGTTAATATAACAAGAATGGTTTGCATGACAGTGATGTCACCTGGGAGCCAAGGAGAGCGGACTGGAATGCGCATGTGTGAACAATGACGACTTCACTGTACTAGTCAGTGAGGGCAGTAGATGCCGTTGAGTGACCGTGTGTACTGTGTGACCATCACATTCAAAGTGACTGAGTGAGCAGAGCAAAGAATGTGCACCAAATTTTGCATTAAGCTTGAACATTCCTCTGCGGAAAATATTTGGATGATTCAGGAGGCCGCAGCTCTGGGCAACTGGTGACTGGCAGCTTCATTGCAACAATACATCCGGTCATGCATCACATCTCACGCAGAGTTTTTTGGAGAAACATCAAATCACCCTGGTGACTCAGCCCCCTACAGCCCAGATTTGGCACCCCGCAACTTCTGGCTTTTCCCAAAACTAAAATCACCTTTGAAAGGGGAGAGATTGCAGACCTTCGATGACATTCAGGAAAATACAATGGGGCAGCTGATGGCAATTGAGAGAACTGTGTGAGGTCCCTGGGTGCCTGCTTTGAAGGGGACTGAGGCATCATTGTGCTACATATAATGTTTCTTGTATCTTGTTCAGTCAATGTCTCTACTTTTCATATTACATGGCTGGACACCTTCTGGGCAGACCTCGTATACTCAGATTTCAGGGACTTTCTCCATTCTCCATGGCATGCAGGGAGAGCTGACCAGTCTTTGGAATTAAGACAGCCCCGAACATTCAGGCTATCATGTCTCCCATTTGTGAGTTCAGGATTTTTTTGAAAAAACCCAGCTCTTCATTTTTACTCACTGAGCCTCAGTTTCCTTATCTGGGAAATGGGGTCACACAGTTCCTACCTGGAAGGACTGAGAATTGAATGAGAGACTGTGCCTTGGGCTCAAAAACTCAGATGACCGCAGGGACCTGGCCAGGACTGCCACCAAAGGAGCCACCCAGAATGAGGCCCCCAGCAGTGGAGGGGACCAAGGAGAACTGGGAGCCCCTTGCTCGCTCCCTTCTAATGGGAGTGGCTACTGTTGCTCAGGCCCCAGAGTGGCCAGAGTCCTGTGTTCTCAAGGGAAGTAGGAAATAGAATTGTATGTGACTGTGTGTGTGTAGCTTTTTTTTTTTTTTACCGGAGAGCAAACTATGCCAGAGGTTGTGGGTCTGTGGCACCTCCGATGTGGGATAACCCCAGCACCCCAGCTGTGGTAGGCCTCAGTGGGTGTCACCCATTGTTCCTGGCATTGCGGAATCACCTGTCTCTTACCACCCCCCACAGGCTCCCTTCCCCAGGCTTCCTGCTTCTGCGCCCCAGGCTGGGCCACAAAGAGGAACCAGGCAGGGAAGGCCCTGCAGAGCCAGATCGCGGTGACCTCAGCTGGGGCTACAAGGGTGTGCACAGCCCGCAGGAAGCAACCGAGAAGCAGGAAGCGAGGGGTTCTGGGCCCCCTTCTGCTGCTCTGTGACCCCTGCCGGGGTCCTGGCTCCCCCTGGGCCTCAGTGTCCTCATCCATATGAGGAGGGGCCAAGGGAATGTGACCCTGGGCACATCCCTTCCCCGCTCTGAGTCTCGGACTTTTCTCAGGGCAGCGCCAGGAGAGGGCAGCCGTTCTGAGTCTGGCTCGGGGCGCAGCTTGCTGTTGTGTGACCGGGGAGAGGCCCCTGCTCCCTCTCTGAGCCTCTTTCCCTACCGGGAACAATGACGGGTTTCCTTCTCAAGTGCTTGGGGGGTGGCGCCCAGAGACAAAGCCTGGCAGTTTGTCTCTTAGGATCATCATAGGGAATTTTATTCCACAAGCATTTATTGAGCACCTACTGTGTGCCAGGGACCTGGTGAGCAAACCAGGAACAGTCCTAGGCCTCCCGAATTCACATTTGGGTAGGGGAAGATGAATGTTATACAGACAGTGACAGCCCCACATGATGGACCCCACGTTGGGGGAGCCCGGGGGTCAGAGGAGGAATCATGGGTGGCTTCCTGGAGGCAGAGGTTCCAGGTCGAGATTTGCAAGAGCAGTGCCACAGTCAGCCTGGTGCAGAGGGGTGAAGGAAACAGCACATACAAAGCACTAAAGAGAGGAGAGAACAGATGCAGGAGGAATTTTTCTTTCTTTCCTTTTTTTTTTTTTTTTTTTTTTTTGGTGGAGGAAACATCTTTACATGCCCTGTAAAGATGTTTGATGGTTAATCACTCACAGGGGCCTGCCTGGCTTTTGTTTAGGGTGCTTCTGTCCCAGAATGTGGCCAAGGCCATAAGGGTGATAGGGAGGGACCAAGGACACCAGGACAGGTAAGACCTTCTGGCCACAGTGTCCTGGTCTGTAGCTGACTAGCCAGGTGGCCTTGGGTTGCTTCCTTGGGACCACTCTGGCCCTCACATTTCTCATTTGCAAAATAGCATCCCCTCAGCTGGTTCCTGGCACACAGTAACTGCTCAGTAGATATAAACACTAATGGTAAGAAAATTATTGTCATTAAGGGTCTTTCATGCCCTTGGGACCAGCTGCCTGGGAAAACAATTTTCATAGGGGCCCTGTCACCCATTCTGTGTCACCCACGTGGGGTTTTTTTTGTTTGTTTTTTGTATAAACGGCTGCTGTTTGCACTTACCAATACGTCCTGGATATTGTAATGCGTGCACACCCTGGCTTTTTGCTAGCTACGGAGATCCCGTGGACCGCGTTCATTTGGCTGATCCCCCAGGCCATGGACACAAGTTGTTTCAGTGATTTGACACCTCAAACAAAGCTGCGCTGAGTCTCAGCTTGTCCAGGCTCGTGTGCCTATTAAAAATAATGTGGCAACATTTAAAGGGAAGATTTCACTCCCACGTCCCGATTCTTGGCTGCGATTGAGAATTAGAAGCTGCCCTGCACGCTCACCTCTCCCCTCCCTCCCCACAGGCAAGCGCTTCCAGGAGTGGTGCTGCGTGGTGCTGTGCTTCAGCCTCGTGGCCTACAACCTGGTCCACCTCCTGCTGCTGGCCCGCTGGGAGCACACGCCCCTCGTAATGCTGGGTGTCGGTGAGTGCCCGTGGCTCTGCCCCCTGCCTCTGTTTCCACGGGGGCCAGGGGCGCACCTAGAGTCTGTGACCCTCTGCTGGCGACTTGTATGCATGTACACGTGTGTGGATGTGTGTGCCTATGTGTGTGTACCAGTGCAGTACGTGCTGCGGGAACTCAGCCTCTCATCTCAGTCAGTGGCATCCGTGTCCTTCCTGTCCCTGGGGCCAAAAACCTGAGGGTCATCCTCGAAGCATCGGCTGACGTTCTTGGCTCCACCTTCAAACTGCATCCAGAACCCAACCGTTACTCTTTCCCTCCACCGCCCCACCCTGGCCCAGCCACTGTCCTCACCCCACCAGACTCGGGGTGGAGCCTCCTCCCTGGTCTCCCCACTTCCACCTTCGCCTGCATTCTCCACACACAGCCAGAGGGATCCTGTTAGAACCTCAGTCAGGTCAGGCCACTCCCCCCGCCCCCAGCCCCCCCCGTATGCTTAGAAGGAAACACCAGCTCCTCAGCATAGCCCGGCCCCCGCTCCTCCTCGGACCTCCTCTCCCTCCACGCTTCTCTGGCTCACCCAGCCCCCGCCACACTGGCCTCCTCACTGAGCCTGTGCTGGACCCGCTCCTAACCCAGGGCCTCAGCACGAGCTTTCCCCTGTGCCCGGAGCACTTCCTGTAGGTACCTGCGTGGCTCACTACCTCGTGCCGTTCTCTGGTCAGAGGTCACCTCCCCTGGGAGGCGCCCCGCCCCCAGTTATCCCTAAAAATGGCAGCCCTGTCATACTCTCTCCCCCCACCCTATTTTTATACAATATATTTCGTTATCTGTTTATTATATGTTTCCTCTATCAAAGGTCAGCTTCCTAAGAGTACAGATTTCTGTCTGTTCACTGCTGCATCCCCAGCCCCAAGCACAAGGCCTGATGCACAGTAGGTGCACGAAAACTATGTATTGAGTGAATGCATGAAGGAGCACACTGCAACTCATCAGTGCCTTCCGAGCGGTTTCCCCGGTCAGTCCTCCCCGATCCACAGCCTGGGGGGCAGGTGCCACAGTTACCTCGTTATTTTTCAGATGAGGAAACTGAGGCTCGGAGAAGGGCCTGGCTCAGAGTCCCATCTCAAGCCGGAAGCACAACATGCTTATTCGTTCACTGTCTCCACTCCTAGCGTTCAGCTCCCACACTCTCATTAAAAGCATTCTGGCCGCTTAAGCCAGTGGTGCTCAGGCCAGCTGATAAGCCATCTGGGTCTGGGGTGGGGGTGGGCACGTGCTAGGGGGCCAGCTGGAGGGGAGGGGGCTGAGCCCATCCAGTGCTGGGGAGCCCGGGCCCCGCCCACAGGAGCCAGACACGCCCCCTCCGCCCAGGGGTGAGAGGGGCCTGCACTGCCAGCCTCTCATTCAAGGGCAGTAATGCAGACAGTGTGGGCCTCCAGCCCCGCCTGGGGTGGTTCACGCAGCACACACCTGGGCCCCTGCAGACCCGGGTTCAGTCCCAGCCCCACCTCGTCTTGGCTGTGTGGCCCTGGGCAAGTGTCACTGCATCTCCGAGCCTCATTTTCCACATCTTTTAAGTGGAACCGCTCACGGTGCCTGCCTCCTGGGGCTAGCGCGAGGGCAGAATGCAGGTGTGCGTGGTGCTGAGGGGACCCGTGACCGAGGAGAGGCCGGGAGGGGTCACCATCCAGCATACCACTCACCGGGGCCGGGGCCTTCTGCCTCGGTGGTCAGTGGATATTCCCTGAGCACCTACTGTGTGCCAGGCCCCAGGCTGGGCACTTTTAACTCTTGGCAACCTAGTGAGAAGGTTCTGACCACTGTCCTCTGAGTGGCCAGGCGACTTGCCCCTTGGCCCACCCCACCCTCTCCCTCCGCCCGGGCAGCAGCAGAGCCTGGGGTCAAATTTTCTTTCAGACCTGCCCGGCTCTCCAAGCTATCACTGGGAGGAGACAGTAGGCAGCGGGCCCAGCCGGGGCAAAGGATTGGCAGCCCCTGGGCCTAGGCGTGTGCTGTGTGAGCCGGCACAGCGAACATCCCAGGCAGGCCGCCATCCCTTCCCTGGCTGGGACCAGGCAGCTTCCGGCCCTGGGCGCAGGGGACCTCTGACAGGCCAGCGCCTCTGATGTCAGTTCCCCAATCTCGTACCTTTGCCTCCGGGCTGATAAGAGCAGACAGTCCCCTGATAGCAGTGTTGACACAGTCCCTAATCAGACTAAGTAGCTGCGCTGATTTGTGTGTTAGCACGCGGAAGGCAAGGGCACGGTGCCAGCCTGTGCACCCCCGCCCCCCCGCCAGCGTGATCTCCCCAGAGGTCCCGGCGCCTCTGCAAGGCCTGTGAAATCAGGGCAGGCAGAGGCGTGAAGGCGCGCGGTTAATAAACGCAGACAGGTGGCGCAGTGCCACGTGATCGAGATAAGGGCGTGCGCTGGGAAGACGGGAGAGGTCAGGGGAGGTTTCTCTGTACAAGTGGCTGGTGTAGAGGGCAGGGAGGGCGCCTGGCAGACACTTCTGGGAGGGGTAGTCCGGGCAGCAGGAGCAGCACGTGCAAAGGCCCTGAGGCTGCTGTGTGTGCACAGGGATTCTGGGAATAGAAAGGAGGCCAGAGTTTTTATTCCAAAGGTCATGTGGGGCTTGTGAGTTGGCCCTTGAACAAGAGAGTAGGAGTTTTGGTGACCAGTCAGGTGGGGCGTCTCCATGTGATCTGAGCAGGAAGCCAGGGTTTGGCCCAGGACCCCATGGGCCAGCCCTCAGCAGTGTCTGCTCTGTCTCACGTCTCCACCCCAGGCCGTGAGTTGGGCAGGGACGAAGAAATCCCCACTGGGTGACCTGTAAGGAAGTGGGGCCCCCCCGCCCAAGCAGCCCAGGGATTGTTTCCGGGCCACCCGGTGAGTCAGGGCAGCCTGGAGTGAGTCATCCTCCATTCCCTACCCCGCCCCAGTGTCCTGCAGACCGGGAGGCAGTCCGGCGGAAGCAGTCCCCAGGGTGAGCCATCCGCCGGCCACCACCACCGGCTAGGACAAAGAAGCTTCTGTGTGCCCGCCTCTGCCACCGCTGTCCCCATTAAAGCAGCCTCCAGCAGCAGGCCTGGAGTCTAGAAAACAGCCTGGGGCCCGGGGGGGTCCCCAGAGCCGTCTCCTCCCCGAAGGAGGGGAGAGCGCATTCTCCCCCAGAGTAGTGCCTGACCTCTGTCCAAGCGAACACCTCCCCCTGCTTGGCAGCCTGCAAAGGCTGGGTGCTGGCCCTTTAACAGGCGACGAGACCGAGAGGCTCTGAGAGGAGTAGCACTGACACTGCTTGCTACAGCTACCTTTGGGGAGCCCTCGCTGTGCCCCGGGGACCGTGCCTAGCACTTCACCCGCACTAGCCTACCTTATCACTAACTTGCTTTTAGTCGGGTGAAGTGAGTCCTGTTAAAATTCGCACTTCCCAAACGTGAAGGCTCGGTGTCGTCCCAAACACCTCACGTCTCTGGCCACACGTGCTCGGAGCCCTGACCCTCCAGCCGCTGTGGGGCCGTGGCCGGTCCTTACCCCCTGCGTCTCATTTCCTCCTCCGTCGGGATGTGGTGGGGCCCATTCCAGGGGACATGAAGTGAGGTGACGCGCAGTTTTGCAGACATTATTTTTGGAACAGATTTACAGAAAGCGAGCAGATAGTACAGACAGCTCCCGGGCGCCCCTGCCCCCAGTCTCACCTGTGACTGGCATCCCACGTCCTGCATCTGTATCGTGCATCGGCTGTGATCGGTGTCCCAGTATGGATGCGTTATTGTGAACCGAAGTCCAAGGTGCGTCCGGTGTGCCGTGGTTCTACCTGGTGTCCTCTCCCTGTTCCAGGATCCCACTCGGGACTCCCCATCCCGTTTGGCTGTCGTGTCCTGTAGGCTCCCCTTGGCTGGGACCGGTTCTCATGTTTTCCTTGTTTTCGGTGACCTTGACAGTTCTGAGGGGGGCGGGCATTTCACTACACACCCCTGTGCTGTGGTGCGGGGCTCTCCTTAGACTGGGGTGCATGTTCTGCAGAGGAAGAGCTCAGAGGGGAAGGGTCGTTGTCATCACATCCTAGCAAGGGTGCGTACTGCCGGTGTGACCCTCCAGCCCAGGCGGCGTTCACCAGCTTTCTCCACAGCAAAGCTACCCGCCTCCCCCTTCCATCCTGCACGCTCTGTGGAAGGCACTGAGCGCGCAGCCCTCATGTAAGATGTGGGGAGCTGTGGCCCCTATTGGTGCACTTCTCAACACCTTCTGCATAGGATCAGACTGGCAGGAAGTGCTCTATTGTTGACCAATACCACAAATGTCGTTTCTTCTAATACAGATGCTCCTTGATTTAGGATGGGGTTTCATCCTGGTAAAATATTGGAAGCCAAAAATGCATTTAGTACGCCTAACCTGCTGAGCACCATAGCTCAGCCTGGCCATCCTGAAACGAGCTCAGAACAGTTACATTAGCCCACAGCTGGGCGACGCCAGCGCACAAAGCTCATTTTATAATACACGGTGAAATACCATGCGTAATTTATTATGTGTATTGCTCTCGTGCCATCATAAAGTTGAAAAGTCATAGGTTGAACCATTGTAAGTCGGGGACCATCTGCATTGCTTCTATGACTATTTCTGTCTTCTGTGAGGATTAAATGCTCAGGGTGGTTAGGGAGATAAGATGTGTAACCGGTTTAGGACTGGCCTCCGTGCAGTGCAGGGATTAAAAGAGATAAAGCATTTAAGGTGCTTACTCAGGGCCTGGTACCTGAAGTGCCCAATAAATGTCAAGGGGAAAAACTAATTTGCCCTGGCTGGTGTGGCTCAGCAATGGAGCACCAGCCTGCGAACCAAGAAATCACCTGTTCCAGTCCCAGTCGGGGCAGGTGCCTGGGCTGCGGGCAAGGTCCCCGGTGGGGGCGTGTGAGAGGCAGCCAGTCGGTGTGTGTCTCACACATCAGTGTTTCTCTCCCTCTCTTTCTCTCTCCCGTCCCCTCTCTCCAAAAATAAATAAGTAACATCTTAAAAATAAACTAAACTAAATAGACAAATAGCTGACATCTTGACCCAAAGGAGACGAGGGCGTCTGTCTGCACACGGGCGGGTACATGAGCGCTTTCCCGGAAGGAAGGCGAGTCAGCACAGCCCCACCCTAACGCCACCCAGGTGTCCAGCTGCGGAACGGATAAACATGCTGTGGTGCCTCCAGACTTCGGAACACAGCTCAGCCATAACGATGGTGAAGCTGCTGCTACGTCAGCTACACGGGCGACTCCAGAAGCACTATGCCAATGACAGAAGCTAGAGCCAGGAGAGCACATACCGTATTTACGTGACGTCCCAGAACAGGCAGAACCGGTCTAGGATAAGCAGCAGATCAGTGGTTGCGTGGAACAGGGGTGAGAGAGAGGAACGTGAAGGGGCACCAGGTCACCCCCTGGGGGGCCGCCTTTGCGTGTGGGCAGCATGTAGAGGCACTGCCAGAGCGGCCGGGATGGAGCCCCAGAGGCCCCTCGGTGCCGGGGGAGGCTCCACCCCGGCCGCTCTGCAAGGGAAGATGCTGAGGCCCCGAGGGTAGGAGAGCCACGGGGGAGCAAGAGAGGAGGCCCCCGAGCCTTGATCTGGATTCACCCTAAATCTTGGCCGCCTCTCCTCTTGTCCCACCCCCAGGAGACACAAAGTAGGGTGTGCAGAGCCCCCTGCACTGGGCCATGGGAGCTCTGTCAATGCCCCTGGACCGACTGAGGTGCAGTCTAGGGGCATGAAGGGTACTGGTGTTAGAGGCAGGCAGGCCTGCCTTCTCCCATCCCACAGCTGCCACTTCCATGCCACAGAACAGTGTGGGAGGTGGTGTCAACTTCTCAGAGCCCCTTTCCTCACCCAAGAAGTGGGGATAAGAAATGGCACCATCTCAGGCGGTGACAGGTGCCGTGAGAGAAATTCAGCACAGAGATGTGACCAGGAGCACCTGACTGAGGGGAGAGGCTGGCTTTCCCCAGGAGGGGTTGGGTGATGTTGGCCCCGAACTAGAAGGCTGAGGGGGGGCCAGCCACTCGGAGAGCCTCAGGGAGGGACGGGGTGCCAGCGGGGGTGGGGGGGGCGGAGCAAGTGCAGCAGCCCTGGCTCCCTCCTGCGTGACCTCCCACACCCTCTTAGCCTGAGTCCACCCGCCCAGTGTTGTCGCTGGGGAGGAGGCCTGCCCGGCCCTGGGCGGGGCCCTGGGTACACAGGCCCAGAGGGCCCCACTTGGGCAGTGTCACCCTACGGCTTGTCCTTCGGCTTCCGCGTTCCAGGAGGTGGTGCTTGTCCTCACCTGCCCACCTGTCCTTGGCCCCAGGAACTTGCAGGTGCCTGCACAGAGCCGCATCTCCCCTGCCCCTGCCGTCTGTTCCATGTTTGGCACCCATGGGGTGGAGGTGCCAGGGCCCCCGGGAAGTCTTCATTCACGGCCGCCCCTTCACGTGGGCTCAAGCATCAGAACTGCCTGTCCGCAGCGACCTGCACACCCTCTCTTGCCCCCTCGCTCGTGACCCCCACTCCCCAGGGAGGCCCCTGGGGACTTTGCTGCAGCCTTCGAGGTGCCCCAGGGCCCTGGTCAGTCACCGAGGGGCTGAGGGCCCTAGCACAGAACTCAGGGAACCTTTCAGTGGCCTAGCTGGGCCTCGAACGACACGTTCACACAGAGAAACTGCGTCTGGGGAGGGGGCGGGAAAGGGCCTGCCTGAAGTCACGTGACCCAGTGGGCTACACTTAAGGTCGCTGAAATCTGCATTTGTTCCCTGCCACGTTTTACAGCATTTCCCGCCTCGTGTCTCTCTGCCCAGGGACAGGGAGCTCGCGTCTGGTGCGTGTCTGGCTCCAGAGCCGTGGCACACAGCACAGGCTCCGAACCCCAGACGGCCAGGCCACTTGCAGACTGAATGACAGGGTTACAGTTACAATGAGTACTAAGGACTCACTGTGCACCGAGCACTGTGCTTAGTGTTTACATCAGTCGTTCGCCGAGTATTTACCGAGCCCCTGACGTCCAAGGTGACGGGAGACAGGAGATGGGGATGCTGGAAGGTGACAGTGGTCCAGTTTTAGAGCAGGTGTGCCTGGAGGACTTTGAGTAAAGACCTGAAGGAAGCGAAGGAGTGAGCTGTGTCACCTCTGGGGCAAGAATGGTCCGGGCAGAGGGAAAAGCAAATGCGAAGGCCCCGAGACACGCAAGGGAGCGCACCCTTCAGTAGGCTGAGATGCGGCGAGAGGGCAGCGTGGTGGGGGGCGGCCCGGGGGTGTTCCTTTGGAAGGTGGTCGCCTCTCCGCCTCGGTTTCCCCGTGTGTACGAGGTGATGGTGCCTCCCGCTGTGCTACATTTGGACCCCGAGGCAGGTCCGCTTGCCACCTGTGCCACCTCGGTCTAGTTACTGCTCTTCTCCAAACCTGTGTCCTTCCCTGTAAAGTGAGAATAAAAAGGGACCAACTTCAAACAGGTTATGAGAATCTATTGAACTCAAGCTTGTGAAGCACCTGCGTCTGACACTGAACGTGCTCAATAAATGGTAGCTGCTATATTTTTTAATCATCGTCATTCCCATCCATCTGGAAGCATCTTGGGCACAGAGAGGTTAAGTAACATGCCCAGCATCACACAGCTAGTGAACGACAGCTGGAATTTAAGTCCAGATCTAACAGCTCTTAACCTCTGTGTCATACTGAACCCTCAAGCGAATGGTGCTGGGGTCTCTAAAGGGACCCCACTCCAGTTCTGAGCCAGTTGGGAACAAAGACAAGGAAAAGGCTGCTGGATGCCAAATAATCACATTTCTTGTTGATCAGAGCTAGGTAGGATTGGGGAGCATGGCGTCTGTCTGCAGCTAAGGAACTTTCTCGACACCAAACCCCAGAAGGACAATGCCGCCTAGTCACTGGCAACGCTACAGCAGAGTGGGCTTCCCTACAAAGGACTTCTGGGGGCCAGAGCTGGGGACAGTCAGTCCCTAACAGGGAGCTGTGGAGCTGATCTGAGCATGCCCAGTTTACTCTCTCCAGTCCCTGCGTCTCCCCTGGGGCAGAACAAGTGAAGGGACAGATTCAGACTGAGGCCAGCAGTGTTATGCCTGAGGCTCCATTCACAGACAAGTGTCCCAAGTAGAGGAGGAACAGCCTTTCCCCTGACTAATGAGTGAATGAGCAAGCAAACCACCGAGTGAGTGAATGTGCAACTCCCCGGTTTGGGGTGGGCGGGCAGGGAGATGCCCCTCATGTGTCCCCGCCCCCCTGGCCCACCACTCACCCTGTTCCTGTGCACAGTTGCAGGGGCTCTCATCGCTGACTTCCTGTCTGGCCTGGTGCACTGGGGAGCCGACACGTGGGGTTCCGTGGAGCTGCCCATCGTGGGGAAGGTACGTGTGTATCTGGACCCAGCCTAGCCTGTGTCCTCTGGAAGGGGGTCGGGCTCTCTGATGTCTGAGCCTCTGTTTCCCCGTCTGGAAGATGGAAACCACCCTCCCCACCTGCCCTGTGTGCCCCTCCTCCAGGACTAGAACGGGACTCCCTTGGGATTTTTGGAGAGCTTTGATATGTGCCCGCCTCCCCAGAACCCTTTGACTTTAGGGCCACTTCTTCTTCTCCTTTGCCTGCCCTGCTGTGGCTCACTTGTTTGTTTTTGTCGAACTTGATCTTCTACCAGTCAGACCTTTCTGGCTGTAAGTTATAGAAAGTCCAGTACAAACTGGCTGATGACAAGCAAAGGTACTGATTCGTGTACTGAGAATTTCAGGAGCAGAGCCTGGAAGTTAAGGCATGGCTGGGTCCTGCAGGACAGACAGACCATCCATATTCTTCTCGGTCTCTCTCTGCCTTCCTCTGTGTTGGCTTCACTCTCACGTAGGTTTTCCCCCTGGTAAGACAGCCCTGCTGGCTTCCAGCTTCCTAGAAGTTCATCCTCCCAGCTCAGCAGCCACCCCCAGGGGGAGGAGCACCTCCGTTCCCAGAGTTACAGCCAAAATCCTAAGGCTCACTCCCATTGGTCCAGCGTGGATCACATGCCCATCCCTCAGCCAGTCACTGGCCAGAAGGAAGCTCTGATTGGCCAAGCTGGGGTCACATGCTCACTCTTAACCAGGGAATGGTGGGGTTAGCCCCATCAGAATAATTCTAGGAGAAGAGGAGGAGGAGGAGGGGATTACCAGAAAGAAGGACTTAGATGCTGGGAAGAAGCCAAGGGCCCTGCCTGTCACTGTGAGGGCCTCCTCAGCTGTCTCCGGGTGGGAAAGAAGGGCAGAGATGGTCTCCAGGACTCCTCACAGCCCAGGTGGGGAGACTGAGGCCCAGAGGGGGGCAGGACCAGCCCGAGGTCCCCGCCGGGTCCTTTCGGCCTGTCTTCCGCTGGAGCTGCTAGACCTAGACACCGAAGGCTGGGTGGGGTCTGTACCCGTGGCGTGATGGGATGCCCCAGCACCTCAAAGCCCGGGAGTGAGCTGGGGTGCAGTGTGTGCAGGCTGCTGTGGGGAGGGGCCGGCCGGCCACCGTGGGCCTGGTGGCTGGAGCCATGCGCCCTCTCATCTCCTCTCCCCCCCACCCCCCGCCCCGTCCTACCCAGGCTTTCATCCGACCGTTCCGGGAGCACCACATCGACCCGACGGCCATCACGCGTCACGACTTCATCGAGACCAATGGGGACAACTGCCTGGTGACACTGCTGCCACTGCTGCACATGGCCTACACGTTCCGCACCCAGAGCCCCGGTGAGCGTGCCCGCTGGGGCCGGGCCCCCGTGAGCCCCCTGGGGCTCCTGTGTGTGTTTCGCCCCTCACAAGGTCATGAAACTATTTTTGGCAACCTTCGTGTAGAATTGGGGTATTTGATGCAAAGCTCTGTGTTCCCAGCTTCTCTCACACAATTCAACCTGGTCGCCCCGGGTGCTTGCTCGCACTGGGCTTCTCCGCTGGACTGGAGCGGAGCTGCGGCTGCCGCCTCAGACAGGGCGAGTCCACGCTCCCCGGTTCGCCGCAGTCCCACACTCCCGGCCGTCCTGCACGCCGCCCCCCTTGCTCGTTTGTATATCGCCTGCCCGGCCCTGCGAGCTCCTGGTTTTGCCGCACTGGCTTCGTGGACAGAGTATCAGCTGCGAACTCAGACAGCCCTGGGTTCAGATCTCTGTCCTACCTATTTTAGAGCGGGAACATGTCCCAAAGCAAGTGCCTTCGCCTCCCTGCGCCTTGTCTGCCAGGTGGGGGAATGAGCCCTTCCTCTTCCCGGTCCTGTTCTGACAACTCGACACCTCGTTGGTGCTCAGAGCAACCTCCCATGGGTGGATGTGATGGGTGCCTGTGCTGCAGTGGGAGCCGCGGTGTCCCACCCACATCCTCTTCCCAAGAAGTGGAGCCCTCCCCTGGCCTGGCCACTGGGAGTGATGGCCCCCAGCGGCCGCTTCTGAGAACTGCTAGGGCAGGTCCCATCTCTCCCCTGGAGATAAGCCCCAAGCCAGTCACAGGAACCACCTACAAAAGGCCGGCCCCCTCCTGTCTGAGTGGGACCGGCTCCCTCGAGGATCGGGCTAAGGCAAGACTCCCCCTACCCCATCTTTGCTTAGTGCTGCCCCTGTCCTGCCTCCGTCACTCCCCCGATAAATCACATGCACCCGAATCCTTGTCTCAGGGTGCTTCTAGGGGACCTAGACGAAGACTTACTCCCATTGTATTGATGAGGAAGCTAAGACGTCAAGAGGCAGTTGCTGACCCAGACTCCTACAGCCAGGAAACGTCACAGCAGGGATCTGAACCCAGTGCTGCGACTCCTCTAGAGCCCATGTTCTTAACTAGTACTCGTGCTTACTGAGCAGGAGTGTCCGCCACTGAGCAGAAGGGAGTCTGAGCTTGCCCGAGGCCATGTGGGAGGCTGGCACCCGGGTGCTAGCCTGGGATGGGAGCTGCCCCGGGCAGGTGGTAAAAGCCAGGCTGGGGGTCAGTCCCCACCCCGTGTGACAATTGTGTGGGCCCTGTGGGTACCCACCCTCTCCCCGCCCTGCAGAAGCCCTGGAGCAGCTGTACCCCTGGGAGTGCTTCATCTTCTGCCTGATCATCTTCTGCACCTTCACTAACCAGATCCACAAGTGGTCCCACACGTACTTCGGGCTGCCACGCTGGGTCACCCTCCTGCAGGACTGGCATGTCATCCTGCCACGTAAGCACCACCGCATCCACCACGTCTCTCCCCACGAGACCTACTTCTGCATCACCACAGGTGCGGCTGTAGGGCGGCCTGGAGTAGGCCACCCCCACCCCTCAGGGTCACTCCATCCTCCGGGTCAGAAGGGCACAGGTCACAGTGGGAGGTCACACAGTCCTCGCCCTGGGGGAACGTTCTCTCAGAACACATTAATTGAGGACCTGCTATGTGCCAGGCGCTCTGCTAGGTGCTAAGGACACAGCTGTAAACAAGACAGAACCCCCCCCCCAGCCTCATGGAGTTGTAATTCCAACGACCCATCTACCTAGGGAATATTTATTAAGCACCTACTATGTGCCGGGCACTGCTCTGGACGTAGGACACAGCACTGAACAAAACAGTAAGAGTCCTGCCTTCCAGGCATTTACATTCTAATGGGGTGTTCCAGACAAGAAGCACTGCATCTGACAGCGCTAACTGCTGTGGAGGAAAGTAAAGCAGGGGGTGGGGGAAGGAAATGGGGAGCTTCGCCTGTTGAACAGGGCGGTCCAGGGACGGTCTCACGGAGCAGGTGGCATCTGAGCTGAGGGAGAAAGTCCCAGATCTGAAAGAAGAGCGCTGCAGGCAGCGGGAGCGGCGGGTGGGTGCAGAGGCCCTGAGGGGGGGGCACGCGCATTTGTTCACAGGGCAGCAAGGGGGCCGGTGTGGCTGGAGGGGAGGGCTCGAGGGCAGAGCCTCGAGAAAGGTGACCAAGTCCGGGTCTGAGAAACCCTGTGCGGGGGGAGGACGAAGCAGGGTGGAGGGCAGAGAGTGGCTGTTCCTAGATGGGGTCAGAAAGCTGGAGTACGTGTAGGAGGGACCTTGCAGATACGTGGGGAAGGACCGGGCCAAGCAGGGGGACACCAAGTACAAATGTCCTGAGGCAGAGAGATGCCCGGAGTCTGACTGAGGAACAGCAAGGAGGCACGCACATACGCCATTGGTACTGGGCCAGTGCCGGAGAGGTCAGGTGCGCAGGTTTGCCAGGACCAGCTGGGTGTCTTTCAAGGTTAAGTACATAAACCGCTATCAAGTTAGGCCAACTCAGGTTCACCTGTCATCTCCTCCCTCCACGTGTGCCTGTAGAAGACTCCGGCCTCCCCGGGTGGCGTGTTTCTCGTCCACAAAATGGGGCTGCAGCCACTTCCTGCACATCCACCTTTGTTTGCAGGGCTAGGCTGGGGATGGCACAGGGCAGGTGCAAAGTGCTTAGCACATAGTAGGTACTCCATAAGCTACTGGGGTTTTGTTTGTGGGGGGGACTGTTTTGCTTTTCTGAAGGCAGAACTGAGAGCCACAAAAAAGTATTTTTTTTTGCATATCCTAAAGTCATGGTCTTTGAGAGCGGGTGCGGGGGCTAGAATCGAGGCTGCGTAGGTGTTCAGTTAACTGCTCGGCCCCGCCTGGGGCCCGTCTCGGGTTGGCCACCTACCACCCGGGAAACTCTCTTCTGGGCCTCAGTCAGTCTCCTCCTGTGGAAAAGGGGGCTGGTGACAGTGTCTGCCTGGTTTGGATGGGAAACTACTACAGATGTGAAATAAGGTTGTGAGCAATGTGTGTTGAGCACCTACTGTGTGCTAGGCACCATTCGAGGCACTTGGGCATTAACAGTGAAAGAACATGAGGTTCTACTGTTCAGAGCTGACATTCTAGTTGGGGGTTGGGGAGAAAAAAACAATTAAAAAACAGGAAAGTGCTGACTTAATGACAATAGTTACATTATCATAATGGCTATAAAGAAATAAAAGATGGGGCCGTGACAGGCATGGAGTATAGTTTAAGTGGTGGTCAGGGAAGGCTTCCTGGGAGAGGTGGCATTTGAACCAAGTGCTAGAAAACAGCCACCATACCTAGCATACAGTGCGTGCTCAGTAAGAAAGTGAACGAGAGAGGGTATGAGGGCTTCTCTGAGCAGCCCCTGAGCCCACTGGTGGGTGGCCCCCCTCCCGGATTCTTCCTTTGATCACTCCTTGCACCCTCCCCTCTGCACACCCCCTCCCTGTAGTTTCTGCCCCGGGCAGGATCGGCTCTCCCCTGTGTCCCCCCAACCGCTGCTCTCCCATTCACCCCCGGCGCCCTGTTTCCACTGCAGGCTGGCTCAACTACCCTCTGGAGAGAGTGGGCTTCTGGCGCCGCCTGGAGGACCTCATCCAGGGCCTGACGGGTGAGAAGCCTCGGGCAGATGACATGAAATGGGCCCAGAAGATCAAATAACTCCTCCAGCCTGCTGCCTTGTTGCCAACCTTCCCCGGCCTCCCCAAACCGAAGCCATCTGCCAAATTCCAGCCTTCCTCGCGCTGGCCCCTCCAGGTGGAGAGGATGCCTCCTGGGCTGGGCCTGGGCACCCCCGGCCCACCCTTTGTGACACAGAATACTTGAGCCACTGATTTTTAATTTCCTTTTTTTTTTCCCCCGTTTTCTTTCCTCGGCCCCTCCCTAGCTACCTGAGCTGCTCTGTCTGCCAAGCCTGACTCTGCAGAAAAAGGAGCCCCTTGGGTGGAGCGGACGCTTGCCCCCACTCCCTACACTGCAGCCTCCCCCAGCCCCTCTGGGCAGCCCCCCTGGGCGGCCCTTCGGCACGGCTGGCCTTGGGGCGACTGAGTTGTCTTACTGTCCCTCTCTGTCTGCCCGCGGTGGTCTGGGAGCCCCCAGGCACACCCAAGTGTCCCTGGAGCTCCCCTGCCGTAGCTCTGCACACTGACCCCAAAGGCCTTGGTGGACAGCCGCGGCCCGGCCTGTCCATTCACGGATGGCCAAGTGCGGCAAGGGTCTGCGGGCAGGCGGCCAGAAGAGGCCAGAATCCCCTCCCCAAGTCTGGACCCTCCCCTCCCCTCCCCCATCAGCCCACGTGGTTCCAGCCGAGCGGATGTTTCTAAGCGAATGAAGGATGACTTCACAGGGCGCGGCCGGCAGTGGGTCTCAGTCACTTGTAAGGGGACACAGTGCTCTTGCGGCCGGGGTCTGTCAGGGAAGGAAGAGTGGGGCTTTTCTCGTTTTGGTTTGTTTTTTTTTTTTTTAAAGGTGCTTGCTTGTTTAATGTAAATAATAGAAAGCCTTAATATCTTTTCTGTAACATGGAGTAATATTTTAATGTCATGTTTTGGATGTACATAATATATTTATAACAAAGCAGCAAGAGTCTACTTAACCTCGGCAGCCTCGTGTTTCCTGGTTGGCTGGGGAAGGCGGGGGAAGGACTCTGGAGGGTGAGGCGCCACCCTAGCCTGTTCCCAGCTTCCCCGGCAACCCCGGGCTCAGGACGGAGGCCTTGCCACCTGAGACAGTTAATGACTGGCGCTATCTGCTCCAAACACTTGGAGGGGACTCGTGATTTGGTTAAGGAATGGTCCTTTTGCAAGAGATCACGATGAGAGAGTAACAAAGGCTGATCCCTGTTAGTGAATTCCTTCAGCAAATGTTCCTTGGCAACCAGTGTGTACCAGGCTCTGGCCTGGACCCCAGGGCACAGCAGTGCACAGACCAAACGAGGACTCGCCCTAGTGGAGACGACCCCCTGGGGAAAGGGACAATAAACATAAATAAATGCACATGGGCATTCAGATGTTGATTTGTCAAGAAAATCAAGCAGCATGGAGCCACCCTGGAAAAGCAGAGTGGGCTGTTCGGCAGCGTGGCCTGGGAGGGCCTGAGGGGGTGACATTTGAGCCCAGACCTGGAGGTGGGGATGCAGCCAGCTGGGGTGAGCACTGGGGAAAGAGGACTCTTGAGGGACAGCAAGTGCAAAGGACCTGAGGCAGGAACAAGCTTGGGGTTTTTAAGTGATGGTGTGATTGGACTGAAGTGAGCAGGGGGAAGGGGGGAGGGGGGGCTGGAAGAGTGGACACTTGTTACACAGAACCTCACAGGCTGAGGCGCGTGGGGAGACACTGGACATTTCAGACAAATAAGTGTCTTGTCCATTTATTCACTGAACAAGGACTCATAAGGCACCTCCTTTGTGCCAAGCACTGGGAATCAGTGGTGAACACTACAGGCATCACCATCAGAATCTAGTCTGGGCTGGAGAGTGTCTACGTTATTAGAAGAAAAAGCCTGTTGAGGACACAAATGACAAAGAGAAGTCACAGATGCACTTTTTTAAAAAGGTGACCCATAACTTCATTTTCCTTAAAGTTTGTCCACCACTAGACTGGATTTGTGACTGAAGGGACCACAAAGGGGTATTAGAATTCATCGACTCATAAGTTATAGAAAGCTATAGCAAGCAAAAGTAATTCTGTAAGTTCATATAACTGAAAAATGCAGAGGTGGTTTTGACTTCAGGTTCGGCAGGACTCAGGAGCCTACATGACTCATCAGAACTGGGTCTCTGACCTGCTCTTGTTTTTCTCCGAGTTGACATTGGACCAGCTCTGCAGTCTCAGTGGGACAGTCTCCCTTCCCAGTAGTTACAGCAAAAGCCTTAGGGCAGCCTCTCATTGGCCTGGATAGGATCATGTGTCTACCCTTGAACCAATCACTTTGGCAAAGGTGGTAGACTGGTGGAGAAGTGTTGTGATTGGCCAGGGCTGAAACACATCCACCGGGAGTTGCAGAGACCAACACTTCGCAAGCTGCAGAATGTGAGGAGAGAAGGATCGTTCCCAAAAGAAAAACCAAGGTGTTATCAAAGGAAGTCTGCAGTGGAAGCAGAAGACGTCTGAACCTTTTGGAGGGGCCAGATAGGCAGCCTTGGAGCTGCAGGCCTCGGTTTCCCATTCCCAGGCCTGCTAGGAAGATAGGTTTGCTAGGTCCCAGCAACCTGTGTTAGTTCCCCTGAGCCAGCAGAAAACAACAAAAACCCACAGCCTCGCCCCAGAGAGCTGAAGCGCCTTGCCCACAGCTAGTGAGGCAGAGCCAGGCCCCGCACACAGGTTCTCCCTGCTCTCGGATCCCAGGGGCTGGGAAACACTTCCAAAACCAGAAGGATGTGTGCTGTGCATCAGGTCCGAGAGTTCGAGGGCCATTTGTGAGACGGGGTGTTACAAACGAGTACCTATGAGAGCGGGGGGTGGTGGGGGGGGCGGTATCTCCTGAGCACCTACCATGCGCCAGACTGTGAAGAGCTCTCTGCACTGGGACCCATCAGGCAGTCCCTGCAGCTCTGAGAGGGAATACACTTAGCCCGGTTTCCAAATGGGGAAACTGAGGCACAGAGGTCTTGTACCATGCCCAAGGTCACAAAATGGGTAGGTGGCAGGGCCGGAATCTGAGCCTTGATCTGCCCCAGAGCCATGGTGCTCTAACGCCTGCCTGCAGCCCCAGTGGAGGGGCCGGGGCGAGGGACGTGGCCAGTGAGACGTGTCCCCTGTGAGCAAACAACAACCCAGCAGGATGAGAAACAGCAGCTGACACTGATGGCCCAGAGACATCAGGCCCAGCGGCCGGCTGCTACTCACATCAGCTGATTAACGAGAAGCTGGAAATCCAGATTTTTAAATGCTGGCTCCATACCAGCATTTTTTAAACATACCTGATGCGAATAAACATACCTTGGGCGAACAAAACAGGTACGTGTGGGCGGACTTCTGCCTTGGACTTTCCAGCTGGTGCGGGGACGGCCGGTTTTCCGTGGATTTGTGCTGCCCCCTGGTGGTGGAGTGAAGCATGTGGCAGCGCAGGGCAAACAGGGATTTCTAGCTCCGGGGAATGGCCTGCATCGTCCTCTCTGCTCACTTCTTAGAGGGGTCTGGCCGGAGCACCTGCCCCCACCTTCACCCACCCCCACTTTTGATAAACCTAAAATTTCAGGTTCCCCTCTTAAACACTATTTTGTAATAGTAATGGGTATATAAGGCAAAGAATTAGAATCAAACGATACAAAAGGGTCTAGAGCAGAGAGGTCAGCTGACTGCGGCCAGAAGGCCAAATTGGCCCAACCTGTTTTTCTTTGGACCATGAGCCATTTTTTTTTAAGTTGGGGGGGGGAAGATTTCCTAATTCATGAAATTCCAATTTCGGTCCGGATTGCAACCTTGGACTGGCACACAGCTGCACCCGTGCACTTGCATTTGATCTGGCTGCTCGTTCAGTACAGCAGTTGAGAGACCAAATGGCCCACAAAGCCTGAAATATTTACCATCTGGCTCTTCACAGAAGAACGTAACCGACTCCCGGTCTGGAGCGAAGAATAAACTGCTCCCCACTCTCGTTCCCCGAAGCCCCCGGTTCTCCAGAGGCCATCATTTCCACAAGACCCCTGCAAGGCCAGGCCTAGAGGTGTGTCTGTGCCCCCTTCTCTCAAAGCAGGGAGACCATCAGAGACACACAGCCCTGTCCTGCACAGTGCCTTTTCTCACTCGGAGTTTTGGAGGCTGCGCTGTATCAGCGCTTCCTTGCCCTGCGCAGCATTCCGACTTCAGGACAGACCTGCCTCTTTAAACTCACCTCGTTGGATGTCGGGTCGTTTTCGGTCTTGGGCCATATGAACTGTCCCTGCCATGGGCATCGGAGAACCAGTGTCCTTGCCCGCAAGGGCCCGCAGACCTGAGGGGTCCCCCCTGCGGAATGGCTGGGTCGAGGGCAAGTGTTACGTTTCAAGAGCTCGTGCCGCACTCGCTGCCTTCCACCGGGGCCGCGCCCACGTAAACTCGCGCAGCTGTGAAGGGCGCCAGTTCCCTCACACCCTTGCCAGCACGGCGTGTTATCGAGTCTTTTGTTCTTTGCCAATCTGATAGGGGGTTTTAATTTGCATTTCTCTTACTGTATTTCATTGAATCTAAGATGTCGTTGATTATAAAGATACATCCTGATTTCACGGATGTTTGAATGTAAAAATTTGCCCTTTAGAATAGAATCACTGAAATACAATATGTTAAATGAGATGGGGTTTCTTATCTATAATTTCCTTACTCTGTACATGTCCTCTTTCTATTTTGCTTGGGAAGCAGGACAGTAGTGGTTAAAAGTTTGGGATCAAATCCCAGCGCTGCCACTTATAAAGCTTATGACTTTGGGCAAGCCGCCTCACCTTTCTGTCTCAGTTTCCTGCTCCGTAAGATGGGATAATAACAGTACCTACGTCATAGGGTAGTTGTGAAGATTAAATCAATCAATACAAGCAGAACACTATGTTTCTGGAGCATACTAAGTGCTCCATAACTGTTTGCTATGATTATCATTTTTCTTTGGGGTCGTTTATCTTTTTTTCTTAATGAGTTGCAAGGGCTCTTTATAAATGTATGAACCTCGTCCTTCCCCCACCCCCCATCCAGATCTCTGGTCTCTGATTCCTTTTCCCCTCACCACAAAAGTAACAGCTGACACAAAAACTCTGACATTACAGAAATAAAGTGTATGGGAGGAAGCCAATGGAAACAGCCCAGATGCCCGGCAACAGAGGAGTGAGTGAATGAGTGGTACCACGACTCCCTGCCCGCCTACTCCGATCCCTTCCTGGTTGTGTATTTTAGCAACTACATAAAACATTAAATAAAGTATCTCAATGCCATACTTCAGACACACCCCCGGGGGACATAACTCCACGTGTGTGCCATGAGGTGCCACTAGCAAACGTGTCGCACACCCCACCAACCACAGACAGCTCCCCAGGTGTTCCACCCTCTGTCTCCTGGGCGCCCATGCCACCTCCTGCCAGCAGTTCATTGGCTGTGCTTTCTGTAGTTTGTGTTACCAAAGCTACAGCATGAGGCTGGGGTTTTCTTAACCGTAAACTGGAAATACAAACAAAATTACGTAACGTTAGCCACGACCTTGCGACCGCTCCAAGTGTGGTCTGCAGGTCAGCGTCGTCAGCCCCAGGAGCTTGTTAGAAATGGAGGCTCTCAAGATCCCCATCTGGTCTCATAGAACCAGAATCGGCATTTTAAGAAGATTCCTGGTGAGTTCTGTGCACATTAGAGCTTGACAAGTATGCATTGCTCTAAAACATAATACCGTACATTTTGTGAAGCATACTGCATTTTTTAGTATTTTGAATATGCTTCTTCAAACTATCCGTGCCTTGCATATCCCAGAGGTTCCAACACTGCCCTCGAGTTCTCCCACCTCGCTGAGAACAGTGTTTCGGAGTGAACACTGTGGAACAGTCTATACCCACGGGTCTCTTGACTGGAGCACTGAGCTGGCTTCCTGTAACCGCTAGGCATATATACACAACAAAAACGGACCTTTCAGAGCAACCTGCCC